GAATCCAGACGGCTATGAAGGAAGGTGTTGCTGAACGCTTGTTACGGTCAAACTTTGTTAATTTGGTTATTGGTACACTGGGATCATCTAGGCGTCTCTTATAGTTTCTAGTGTGGTATCCATCCATTGTAATAATGAAGACAAAACACGCTTGAAATGACATTTAAAATTGTGATTGGCTTGTGTTATTTCTCACCTTTGCCGTGAACACAATCCTCGACATATTTTGGCCACAAATCGTGCAATTGTAGTACGTTCGATTCTTTCCGATTACTTCTACATAAAGTGAGTTCATATCGTTACTTGTGTGAACGTCAGAACGTGAATCCTAGGGTAACCATCGTCCAAAAAGCAAAGAATCGATTAGAGCAGTCACAAAATATTGCACGCTTCTCTTGAGACTGCAATCGGGTAAGCCAGTGGATTCTCTTAACTAGCCAATGATAAATCGCACAATATCCACGTGATCATGCCCGTGATCAGAAAGCACAATTTTTTGGGGGGTTCACATTCTGAAGGAGCTTAGACACCAGGCTCAATTAGGTAACTAGGCCTTTTGAAGATATGTAACAATTTTTCACTCACCACCCCCGACTGGTTGAACTGTAGTTGGAGGGGGACAGGGGAGGAAACATTTTTGTCACTTGCGCGCGAAAAAAACAAATAGGAAGTTATTTATTACCTTTTTTTATAATTCTTCAGGAACAACAAATGGGAAGTTATCTACTTCCCTTTTTTGTGTAATTTTCGCGGGAAATAATATTTAGTTCTTATTAACCGAGCGGGATGTCTGTATGGGAGAATCTTGACCGAGGTCGCCAGTACAGACCGAACGCAGTGAGGTCTGTACCAACCACCGAGGTTAAGATTCTCCCATACAGACCGACCTAGCTCGGTTAATAAGCTGTTTATTATAAGGCTGTGTTTTGTATGTCAATTTTTTATATTCTTTGTGCCTTTTTTTTCTAGACCGGTCTAGATACCGGTCTAGATGGGAAAATCTATTTCAGCCAATAAAATTCGTGAAATCGGTAGTTCCCAATCCATGTGAGACACAGCCATATCATAATACCTTGTCTCGCTCCGCTCCGTAGATATACGAATCTTCTGCATTTGACTAAAATACGTTTTCTTCGGTAATTCTAATCATTACTCACGGTCAAATGGAACCAAAGGGAATTTCTAACCTTGGAAATACTTGCTTTCTGAATAGTGTCTTGCAAGGTCTGCTCTCAGTGACATGTTTTTCCGACGGGCTCGCTGGATTGCAGCACAATCGCAATAAGTGCACCTCGTCCAAAACAGGTCTTCAACATGTATTGAATAATATTTAGATTTAGCCAAGCCTAAAAGCGGAGCTCCCAAGTTCATAATATTAATGATAACATAAAAGATGTGCATTTGCCAAGACTCGCCTGTGATGCCTCTCCCTTCGTTTTGATAGTCTCCCCTACCCTACCCGTGCAATCTGAAGGCACGTACGTACGCTCGGTCAGTCATGTGACAACCAAACGAAAAGGGGTTGACCATATTCCATGGGTATGGGGCTCTGCCCCACGCGTGCTTCGCGCGCGTGCGAGCCGCGCTATTATTTTAGCACGTCAAAGTAACATTGATATTGGAGTGGAAGACATAAAATCCCAGCCGGCAAGCAACATCAACCTTGCGATGAACTATGTAATCGAACCAAGTACTTTTTAATGAAGCACAAAATTCGTCACTAGTGTGGTAATCCGCTTAGTTATTCTTGACATTAAGCTTATTTCGACTTTACGAAACAACTGGTATCTGGACCATATTGACTTGAAATTTCAATCCTGGTAATTCCTAAATGGACTATGCCTCATACAAGAGAAAACTAATTTTATATAATTGTGCACCACTGAGGTCTTGCATTAACAAAAGGGCTTCTCTGGTATGTTCCACTAAATACTCTAGGTCAGATGTGTTTGCTGTGTAGCACCCTAAACTTTGTGAATGCATATAAGACTGCACCTGGAACAGTTTGCCCAGCAGCATTGGTATCTTGTCTGCCACAAATTAGCAGCCAAATTCAGAAGGGCCAACAACGGTGTGCAGCAGAATTTTTTCAGGAATATTGTAGAGTACTAGAAAACACTGCAAGCACTATCAGACTCAGCAGTTAATACCTGCCAGCTGTAATATCTCCCTCCTGCAATCCTTTTTCTTTGAGTTAATATTACTTCAAACACTACCATGGAATCAATTCTCCCACTTCATA